GCACTGAGGAGGTGGTGACAGGCAGATCCTGGAGCTCCTCGGTCAGCCAGCCTGGTGGAATCAGTGCGCTTCGGGCAAGCAACAGTCCTTGTTTCAAAAATTAAGCTGGGCAATGACGAGGAAGGTTTCCCAACATTGATCTTAGGCCTCTTGTACACATGTACACGTAGGTACACATACCCTTAGATGCACATGTCTGTATGCCCACATGAACATGTATATATACACAAGAACACACACACACACAGAATTCGAAGGGGAAGAGAGAAAGGGAGTGATATTGCAAACAGTAATCTCAAGGCCGGGGGGACCCCACCTTGCACAGTTACATTGGTGGGGGCAGCTTGGATTCTCTGCACATAGATTTACAACCCCTTTCACTGTAGGCATCTCAGAGTGGACAGGTAGAGTCTTTTTACAGGGAGAGGCTTAAGGATATTTTGCATTCTAAGACACACACACACACATACACACACACACACACTGATATCAACTTTCTATGCTAACTTAAGTCACAATTTTTTTTTTTTTTTTACTGTTAAGAACTTGCATCAAAACTAAACAATTCCCAGAATGTTAAGCCTCAGTTGGCCTCCTGTTTAAAAATTAGCAAGCATTTTATCACCCAGGCTTATAAAGAACTTTTTAAATGAGCCGATACACTAAAGAGAAGGCTCCAACTGTGTTAGGATGGAAGGAAAGTGACCACATATAAGCATATAGACCCGTGAAATGTTCTACTTCTTAAATGCTCCGGGAGGCAAATTTTCCAAGCATGGCCAAGACATCATGAATGAAAAATTCTAAACCTGCTTCATGACAGGTCACATTTAAAATGCAGGCACAAATAATGTACAAAATTACCTTTAGGCCATGAATATAAGGTATAAATAGCATACAAATGAATTGTTCAAGCCGAGTGTGGGTACATATAGCTGAAATCCCAGGAGAGTCATGACTTTGACATCAGGCTGGGCTACATAGCAAGACAAGAAGAAGGAGAAGGACCAAAAGGAAAAGGAAGAAAAAAAGCAGAAGGAAGAGGAAGAAGAGCAGGATGAGAAAGGAGGGAGAGGGGAAAAGAAAGAGAGAGAGAGAGAGAAATAATCATTTTGTTTAATTATTTCATGTGTTTAATCTTGGGTCCCACCTTTCACCACATCTTTTTATTTACATACTAATATTTCAAAAACATGTTTCAAAATTCAAATTTTAAAACACTCCTTCATTCAAGGTATTTCATGTAATGGATACACAGCCTGTATTTATTATCTTAATTATTAAATTATGTAACTATTTCTGCCATTACATATGTGTTTTATTTAGCATTTCCAGTATGTGGTTAAACAGATGGCAATATCAGCAGCAAGATAAACATTGTTCAAGGATGCACACTTCTGTATACAAAAGGTAATGCTTTTCTCAGACAAAATATTTCACTGGAAGTGTGGAGGAAACAAATCAACCATCAAACACTCTGCTCTCTCTGCAGACATTTGGATGGGGAAAAAAAAAAGCTTTGCCTCCAGTGGCACTGGAACCATCTTCGAAAGTCACTGTTAATGTCTGAGAGTTATCTGAGTCCAGAGTTATCTGAGTAATGCGAAGAATGAGGAATCTCTGCTGAAATCAGTATTTCAAAGGCTTCAGATCACAGAAAAAAAACTCCATTCTACTGTAAGTGTATAGCAGGCGAGGACAGTAAAAAATTAGATTTCTTAAAGGAAACTTACTAAGTAACTGAGTAACAGTGTATCTTGGGGCACAAGTGATAAACAGCAGGACTATAGGGACTCTAGCAAGGGAAAAGAAAAATGAAGGTATGACATTAACAGGCCTAGATTTCATTTCCTCCCAAATACATTGAAGACCTTCTGCTGGTTGATCTTCTTGACAGTGCTGTCAGCCCTCCTACTTCCCCTCATCTACAGCTCAGTGCTCTCTGTTTTATATTCCAAGACCACAGTAAAGTCCATTTCTTATTGAGACCCAGAGAAAACTCCCCGTGACAGAACTCAGCTGTAATCTACATCAGGCTAACACAGAAGAGCTCAAAGAGGCTGAGAGAGGAAAAGGGGAGGATGCTAACAAACCTTTGCCCATCTCACTGGCGTCCTCGAACACACCCTCTGAGCCTGCCTGCCCACAAACCCAGATGCTCCTTCCTCCCTTAAGCGCCTCCAACGCCCAGCCACGGGTACAAGCTTTGTACCTAGACGCTGCTCTCCAAAGATGAAAAGCTCACAGTTCAGAAGCAGGGAGAGGGCAGAGCAGCCAAGAGAAGCAGACAGGTCTGGATGAAGGAACACCCTAGCCATAACAGCTGTTTGACTCTCTTTGCCACCCACCCACCCACCCAGGTCATGACTGTTCACCCTACTCTACCCCAGCCTACCCACAAAGCAGGGCACAGAGATGAACATCACTGTCCAAGCATATGCCTCTGTGGTAATTGCAGAATCCATCTGGTAAAATCACAGGGAGTGTGTGTGTGAGTGTGTGTGTGTGTGTGTGTGTGTGTGTGTTCCCAGGCTTGCCCATGCATGTATGTGTCTCACTCTTGAATGCCCTCCCAAGCATCATGCATACAGTCAGCCCAGGCAGGGTCCAGAAATGAATGGCATGTTGCGAGGGCCTCCGTGATTGTTGGCAGTCTGTGGCTCTCTCTCTCTCTCTCTCTCTCTCTCTCTCTCTCTCTCCCTCTCTCTCTCTCTGCCTGAATCCCAAGCTCCAGCACTGGTGGACTTTGGGAACAGCCTGCCCCCTTCTGGTCTCCTTGAGCTCCATGGAAGGGCAGGGGCTGGGGTGGGCACAGCTTGAGGAGGACAAACAGACCCCTAGCTGTAGCCATCCTGTGCACAATGCAGCCCCCCGGGGATGCATTTGAGAAAAGAGGAAGACAGGAAAGTAACAAGCATATGACATAAAACTCAAGACCAGGAAGAGCAACAGGACCAGACAGTTGACAACTACCAGGAATACGAAAGTGAAAAAAGAAAAAAAGAAAAGAAAAAACAAAGGAAAAGAAAGAAAGAAAAGAAAAACAATATGCATATATGTCTACATGAGAAGGTGAAGAAATGGTGACATTGGAGGATACAGGTTATACCCAAACCTACAGATAAAAGCAAAATCACAGACAAGCCCAGAAACTCCGCTGCTAGGACGGAAAATCTACAAAACACATTTAAAGGGGAAAGTGGTATCCTGCCGCCCACCTTTCCAAGTCCAAACCTGACGTGACCGGACTAGGACACGAGAGGAAAACACTCCTGGCTGAGCACACACATGGAGGAGTTGTGGGTCGCTGCTCAGAACATCGGGGACCTGGGAAGGAATCAGCAGTTGCTTTCTTTCCTTCCCTTCTCACTTATCTCAACAGGTGGTCTCTGCACCCTGAAAGTACCTCCTGAACCCCATCTGCAGAAGGTGGGTGAGTCCCAAGGTGTCCTCCTCACCCTGCCTGTCTCCACTCCCTCCCGGCCAGCACTACGAGCTCTTAGTCCCTCCCACCTCCCAGTAGGTCTCCAGTTTCAGAAAGAACATGTAATAGCGTTTGTTTTTTTTTTTTTTAGACGGAACACAGGATCACTCAAACGCAGTAGGTTGCCTGAGTCCCCTTGGCTGTAAAGAAGGACTTGACTTGGGGACGTTGACAAAGCTCACGTTCTCATGCACAAGCCTCACTCCACTCTAACCACAGGTGAGGGCAAGACTTCTCTCTGGTAGCTGCGGAGCAGCCAGAATGCCATCAGATTGTGGCTGTCTCAGCCCCACAGACACAAAGGGCTGCACTCAGGCAGCAAGGGTCAAGACAACCCCAAAGAATTTGGGCACAGCAGAAAGCACATCTGACACAGCTGTGTCGAGGCAGTGTCTTCGGCAAGGGCTGCCAGCTGGAGTGACAAACAATAACAAGGACTATTCCTTCTCTACAGATCCTTGGAAACACCCCCCTGGTGGCTACTGTCCTTTAGATGCTAGGCGATTCTCTGCAGGGAACTGGATGATGGACAGACGGTCACATGGCATATCACACCAGCCCTCAGACAGACTGACGGCTCATTCCCACGCGGAGCAAGAGACACTGTCCCATAGTTAGGGACTCAGACCTCCTGCTCTCCTAGCTCAGAAAAAGGTAAAACAGATACTCCCAAAGAAGTTGAGGACAGGGGAGAAAGACAAGCCCCACCTAGCCAGCCAGCCAGATGGCACTAGAAGAACCGTGGAAAACAGTTTCAGAGCCCTGGCTGTCCACATCCCGGGAGGGCAAAGCACACCCGGGAGATGTGATAGTGTAGGCGGACAGACGGACAGTAAGTGCAACGGGCCACCCAGGTCAAGTCAGAGACAGCCAGCTGGGACCGAGGGGCAGTATCCTGAAGCTGCAGATCCCAGAGAAGGTGAAGTCAGGGAGGGCGAGAAATGGCAAGGTTAGGGACTGAGGAAGGCGGAGACAGGAGAAGCAGACACCGAAAGGGAAAAACAGGACCCTAAGTCAGATCAGGAACACATGACCCATTGTTGATGTGGGTACCAGGGAGGTGGTGGAGGACCTGAGACACTCATTCCAGGTCCCTTCTCAGTCCACAGCAAATAGCTCAGACCAAAGAAGCTGCGTGGAGAACCACCCCTGAGAATCGGCTGAGGATCCGGTCACGATCTGATGCACGCACTCCAGTGGGGAGTGAGGCATCAACGCCCCCACCCAGAGAGCAAGTAGGGCGCCCAGCAAGAGTGACAGGACCCCCAGGAAAGCGAGTCTCCCCTGGAGCTCACTTTCCAGACCTCAAGTGGGCGGTCCTCAGACTCCGCACCGAGCAGCGCTGCTCAGTGCACGACCCTGCAGCTGCCCAGGGCAGCCAGGGCGGCCAGGGCGCAGAGTCCCTTCGGATACCGGGACTTGGGTGGCCAGGACCGGTGAGAGGCGTGGGTAGGGTAGTCCATCTGTCTCTCACTGTCCGCGCGGCTCGCGACCCCCTTCCGAAAGGGCACCTTACCCTCGCCCGGGCGGCCAGTGCCCCACGGCTGGCAGGCTGCTGCGCGCGGGCTCCTCCGGGGCCGCCTCCCCGTGCTCCTCCTCCGCCGGCTCGGCCTCCAGGTCCTCCGCGGGCTGCGGGCGGATGGGCAGCCAGGTCCCTGCGCTCCCGGCGCGGGGCCGCGGGCTGCTGTTGCTGCTGCTCGGCTGCTCCCGCCGCTGCCCCCGCGCGCCGCCGCTCTCCAGCCCCGGAGTCCAGGCTGCTGAAATTCCACACCACCAGCGTCTGCAGCAGCAGCACCATGAGCGCCGCCAGCAGTGCCGAGTGCGAGCGCCGCGCCAGCCTCCGGGCGCACGGCGCCGCCACCATCTTCCGCGGCGGCCCGGGGCGAGCGGGGTGCCGGGACACCCCAGTGCGCGCTCTATGCCGGGGGCTCCGCGCTCGGGCCCCGCCGCCGTCGCCCGGGCTCGCCGCTGCTCCTCCTCCTGCTCCTCTCCTCCACCACCTCCTCCTCCCTTTCCTCCTCGGCCGCCGCCGCCGCCGCCGCCGCCGCCTCCACCGCCGCGGCGCGGAGTTTTCAGACGGGCAGGGACCCGGACGTCACCAGGAGGAGGGGAAGGCGGGAGGCGGGCGCGGGGAGGCCGCGGAGGGGGCGCGGCGCGCGCGCGCGGGGACTCGGCTAGGGGAGGGAGCTGGCCCCACACTAGTCTTCTTCCCCTGGGCCAGGGTCCCCACCCCACCCCACCCTCAGGGTTTCAGGGCGGGCTCTAGGGGGACTAGAGCTGGGGAAGGGGCCACCAGGGACGCGGGCCTTGAGCAGAGGGCGGGGCCTGGAGGAGGAGCCGAGGGCAGCGTGGGGAGGAGAAGGTGAGGGAGGGGGTGGGGGCAAAGGGAGAGGACAGGCACCCCCAGAACAGTCGTGGGAACAAGGTGGGGGTGCGAAAAGGCCGGTGCTCGAGGTAGAGAGAGGGAAAGTGGGGGGACGAATGAGCCAACAGGGCAGCTCGGCTTGCGGAGGTCAGGAAGAGGGAAAGAGGGGTCCTGAGACCCTGTGCTCCCCGTGGCAGAAAGCTGGAGGCGGAGTTGCAGGAGGCGCAGAGTTTTCTGTCCCGGGATCTTTGGTTGCACTGAGAAAACCTTGCCTGGTGGTGATGGGAGGAAACGTAGGAGTGTCACAGGTCCGGGCTCTTGCAGCCCCGGGATTCCTGGATCACTGACTGAAGCGATGGGGAGGAGGAGGAGATTCTCAATGACTCTCCTAGGTTAATCAGCACAAGCACTGTGACTTCTGAGTCAACCCCCACCCCAGGGGCCAACCAAATATGCAGGGCTCACTGACTCACTTCTCTGGTCCCCAAGGACTCACAGTCCAACATCCTCCAAATCCAGCTGGCAAGTCGGTGCTTTGGTGGCAAAAGGAGTTTCCCAACTCTCCCAGGCCACAAACTGAAAGGCGTCTGCCCAGCCGCAGAGCCTCCTTTAACTCCCTTGTTTCCATCCAGCCATCCTGATGTCTGACTTGCTGAGGGCACTAGGATCAGAGCTGGGTGAGGCCAGCCTTGCTTTGTAAGGAGAAGCAGTCTCCTGTCCTGGTTGGTGACCTTGAGATACCAAGACTGGCCCCCTTGACCTTGACCTCTGTCCTCTGTCAATGAGAGTATGGAAGGAATAATCTCTTTGAACTCAGAAGTCATCCAGCCCTCTCTGACTTACTTTTACTACCTTTCCCTTTTGATACACAGCAGCTATGAATGTCTGCACGTGGTTGGGACTGATGTGTATGTCAGTGAGTTGTGGATTTAAGGTGAATCCTTGGTCCTTTATCTCTTGCCCTTCTGAACTTCATCCTGGTTCTTAGAGGGAAGAGAGTGGTTATGTACAGAATCTATCAGAGAATGAGGCAAACAGTGACAAGAAACGGACCCTTCCTTCCACTGCACAGAGCAGTGACCAGTGTCAGATGTGGGGCCAGGTACAAGGATCCCAAGGTGACTAAGGGTGCCTCTTGGCTACAGCGAACTTGAAGGCCAGGGGAACCAGATGCAGGCATGGCATCTCAGAAGGAAATGTGGTCAGCACACTACAAAGATTTGCAAAGGGGCAGCCGGCTCATGAGGTTGCTAAGGGGAGAGCTTGTGTGCCCGGCCAGCCTGCTGCCCTGACACTCTGAAGCCCAGTCCAGGGCCTGCCTTCCAGCTCTGCAGCCAGACACAGATGCCTTCCCACTACCACGAGTGAGCCGGTAGAGGAAAAGCAGCTCCCTGGCTCACCGGTCCCCTCTTATTCGCATACCAGTTGGGAATATTTACAATCCACGTAATAAAACAATCTAAAAATAAACCTAACTAGATCATATAACTAGTGACCTCAGAGAGCTGATTCCAGGCACCGTGTCAGCAACCCAGAACAAGCACTGCAGAGTTTCCACTTCCTTTCTCCTCTCTGTCTCCCACAGGTGTTCACATTGGAACAGCACAACAGGCCTGACTCCTGTGCCTGAGACTGGCTGTAACTTTAGTTCATTTCTAATTCAGACTAAGGAAGTGAATCTAACCAAGGTTCCGTGATTCACCCCTGGCCTTAGGGTAAAGCTGTTATCTCTGTAGCCATTCAGGTAGCCGTTCAGAGGTTCCATAGAGCCAGGTGAATGCGAGCAAGCAGGGAGGTGTAGGAGAGTGACCTCCCTTGTCTACCCATGCGCGTTCCATTGAGTTTCCCCTATCATGGTCAAGTCATCTCCCCTCCCAGGACTTCAGGTTTCTTAGTGCTAAGTGAATAGCCAGAGGCAGTGGAAAAACAGCCTCCAAGCTCTTCATGGGCTGCAGAGAGTATCCCAGCCCCCAGTGCACCTTTGTTTCATGAACTCTTCTGCATTTTGCCTGTGAAGCAGCAATGACCTATGCTTCCTCCTCATGACATAATTAACAGCCGTCCTCCAGAGCCCAGGCTGTGATTCAGCTCCCTTGGGGCCCCAGTGCTTCAGCACTGAGGTTAAAGATCCCAGGCCCAAATCCCTGGAGAAACACAGTTGTTTATCTTGACTCATTAAAAAAAAAAAAAAAAAAAAGCCATGCAAGAAAGAGGTTCAGTTCAGTTGTCCTGGTCAGGTTAGAGATGCTGTAAACAGCTCATTTGACAGGTTTGGGGGGCAATTTTACCTGAAGTAGCTTTTGGGATTATCTTCTGGCTCTAAGATAGCTGGCCCTACCAACATTTTAGAGTGAATGGGAGGTAAAGATGGAATGGAAGAAGAGTTAGCCAGGAGCTGGTGCAAATTGGGGTATCTAAAATAGCCATCTCAGTATGGCAGATACAGTCAGCTGGAAGATCCAGAAGGTAGGTACCCGAAGCTTGCTGAACTATACCAAACAAAAATGGCTTCTCTGCATTAAGAGGACAAGACTTTTCATTTTTCAGTTGTCTGTAAAAGGGCAGGTGGTCCTTATCTGTTAGACAGAGGCCAGGGTCCTGCTTGAGACCCCGAAGTGGCTCCACCCACCTTATTTCAGGTTCTCAGGATTTTCAAAGCTCAGTTTTTCATTCCACAGAGATACATGGAACCCTATTACATGCATGCATCCTGCTGGGCAGGCAAAATCTGGAGATGATGAAGATTCCCCAAGGAATCTTTCTTTTTAAATATGGTTCCTAAGCTCCCATGCTATGGCTCCCAGGAGCCAGAGCTCTAGGGAAGTTTCGCCTGATTTGTGGGATTCCCACCACCACCCCAATTGCCAAAAATCTTGTTTCTCCATCACTTCAAGGATGGAAGGCTGGATTAGTCCCTGAGCATTTTGAGTTATTGGGTGTGCCCAGTCCTGAACTAGTGACTGCAAAGGAAAATATTGGGACAGTCTTCACCCTTGAGGAAATGTCCATCAGGTCAGAAGAGCAAGAAAAGCCATTGACAGCAATTCCAGGGTCAGTTCATGGAGGGAATGAGATGGATGAAAACTGGATTGCCCAGGTTTAATGTGTGCATATACACATGCTTGTGTATGTCTGTTCATGTGAAAGCCAGAAGGCAGCCTCAGGGGTGAGTTTTCAGTTTTTGTTGTTGTTTACTTCTCTTTGATTTTTGGACTGGAGGTTTCAGAAAAGCCTCACCTACCCAGAATAAACTGCCGCTAGTTCCCCAGGGCTTCCTATCTGGTCAACATTTTAGGTGGGCTCTGGGGAAAGAGCTTCTTTGCAGACTGGCATAGCTCCCTAGCCCATCTGCTGCGCAGTTGTTAAGTTCTATGCCTCAGTTTCCTCATCTGTAAAATGAGGCTTGAAATAAAGGGAACTGTCACATAAGGGTTAGCTGGAATAACTCACACAAATAACTTCTTGCATCCAGACTGACACATAAAGCCCAGCTTGGTGGCACACACACACACACACACACACACACACACACTTGAAAGATGAAGTAAAAAAAAAATGCCAGTTTGAGGCCAGCCTGAAGTACACAGCGAGCTCCTTTCTATCAAAATTAAATGGCCAAGTGCATCAAAGAGGAGAAGGGTTAGTTGTAGAGGGCTGCCTGGAGGAGGCTGCGTGACATCAGGACTCTGAGACACTCTAGTATCTCTGTGGGTAGATTCTGGCATCATTTCTTTGCCTCTGCTCTCTCTGCTGCTTGGTACAGTGCAAAGCCTTGGGTGAAATCTGGATACAGAGTGAGCATCTGTCAGTTACAGGTCTGGGGGCAGGTACAATGAGCCAGAGGTATTCTTCCACATGAAGCAGGTAGTGATTGGAGTCTGGCACAGACCCAGGTTCAAATACCATCTCGGCATTCAAATACCATTTCGTGATCTGGGAGCAGGTTGCACACCATCTTTGACCCTTAGTATTGTGAAGTATAAAAAGGAAGAGAAGACTCATGTCTCCCAGGGGACATAGAAATGGCGGCATTACACGCAACAGTGTGTCATCTATTTCACGTGAAGTGGAGGGATTCGCCCGAGCAGGGTGAAAGACTGTTAGTTGGGCCACAACCTCATCACCAAGTAAAGAAATTTACCGTCCTTTCCAATTGTTCCTGCCATTAGGGTTCTGTAGAGCCGGGGCTCCGCAAGTCTCCTTCTGAATTTAAATAAACTTCAGACTAACAGTCAAATGTAGTGAGGTATATGGTTTCCGTTTTAATCTCAGTCACGTCTGCTTCTTGTTTTTATAGTTGGTTTTTACCCAAATGCTACCCATTGACCCGACTTTGCTCTTCAAAAGAATTGTCTAAACCCTTCCTGGGTTTCACTTCTGCATCAACACAGACGCTGGAAGCAGGTGGCTCACCTGTATGTGCTTGGTAGCGTGAGACTCGGCACGGATCACCTCCACCCCCAGGATTCCTGACTCTTTCCAGCAAAAACCCACAGTTCCAAAGCCAGAGGGGTTCTAAGCAGCAGGGCAGAGAAGCCCCTACAGAGTGTGCGCTGCGGGTAGATACGCTCTGTCCTTCATCCCATCCCACCCAAGGGAA